AAAAAAAGGCTGTGCTTCTTACATTAAACAAGAATTATGCTACTACTTTGATTTCCTTGTAGTACCTACTGATTTTTATGACATAAATGTCCTATACAAATAACTTAATAGTTTTCTTAAAAATAAAACAATAGTTATTTTTTAAAAAACAAGTTATTTTTCTTAAATAACTTAATAGTTTTCTTAAAAATAAAACAACTGGAAATTGGAAATACCCTTTTAGCTTTGGAAGTAGTTTAGATACTTGTCCACTAATTTGTAATGAAAGTGAACTTTCCTACGATGGCAAACATAAAAAAAAAAAAAAAAATCAGAGAAAGGAGAGAAAGGTTTCATTATTCCAAATATTTCAATAATTTGCTGTTAAAACTCTGCTTTGACCCATGAACTAAAGATAAAATCTCAAGGCAGAAATAATCTGTACAATGAGTTCATCTCCTGTTTTTCAGTTGTGTAAATTACCCGACAAAGAACTTCAACTTATCAGCAATTTGGACAGTACATGTTAATGCCTGAATAAGTTGGTTTGCCCAGTGCCCCAACATCACTTGAAAGAATCAATAAAGCTTGTTCAGTCCAGTGTTGTATAATGAGCTAAAAAAAAACCAGTAAAAGGCAAGAGGGGAGTAATTAAATATGGCACTATCTAAAAGCTTTTCAGTAACTTAAAAGTTCACCCTACCCCAAATAAAATACTTTCTATCTAGCAGCTTTCCCAAAGCAACATTTTGCTATCACACACAGGCTGAGTATTGTTCTACTTAAGAGTGAACATAAACGTAGCTGCAACTGCTTGGCTAAGGACATCAAATAGCTCATAGGTCTGTCCGACACAGATATAAAATAAACGATCACATATAACTCAACCCCATTTTTTGTTAAATGGTCAAAGGAAAATTAAAATTCCTTTGCTTGTGAAACCGTATACACATACTAACCAAATAGCTAACTTAAAAGTATCACAGGAAAACACTGAGTACAATTAAGAAATGGTATACTAAAAAGAGACGGAGAGGCAGTTCACCTCTGTACATTACATTAGGTGGAATAACACACTGAGAGAATGAGAAACACACAATCGGGATTCTGGGCCACTGAAAAGAAATGTCCTGCAAGGAGCACTAGAGTGGATCAAAGTAAAAACCTCAGCTCTAGGTCCCAGCCAGCTGTAAACTTGGACAACACACTTTAGACCTGTTTCTTTAATGGTAAATAACAGTTAGCTCTAAAATCTCTTGCCATTCTAAAATCCTATGCTGCTAAAAATATGCTAAACAAGAGTAAATAATTTAAAAATACATATTAATATGTGAAGCAAATAACACATATAGACACATAAGTTAATCCTAATTTACTGTGGGAAACAATGTCTTACATTCTAGAACACGACACCAGAAGTTTTAATAAGTCAACATTTAAGTAATTTATCCACGAAAACATGGAACAGTGGCAATGAGCAATGAAAACATCTTAAAATGCTCAAATTCTATGCCCATCAAGGGAGAATTCTCTTCCCTAAAACAATTTTTAGGCCATACTGGAACACCTCCCTTTTATGAAAGATACCGCAATACCTTTAAATGTCATTTAAGCATCCAAACGATTTCTAAACAGTTTCTTCTGGCCATATGCTAAGTGTCCCAACCACCTCTTTCATGAGAGGAATTACAGAAAGGTTAGGCAAAACCTTTCCAAGGCTCTGAGCTTTAAAGACATCTGGGAATAACCTTAGGACAAGATGTCTGAGTACCAAAATGTTATGAAAAGCAACTGTAGTTGGTGGTAATTCAATATTGCCATTAACTTTCAATCCCCCTTGGGTATGAATGTTTTTAATTCCGTTTCAGAAAATTCATTGCCCCAGACTCCGTGATTGTGATTTGTGCAATCTTGTATGGTTCAAGAGGCTGTTTGTTCATAAACTGGTTTACAGGTCACATAGCCTCATCGTTTAAAAAAAAAAATCACTTAAGCAACACTGAAACATTTCAAAAAAAAAAGTACCATCGCTTCCTCACCCCCTCCCACCCCACGTGATACAAGTAACCACTAAATTACCAAATAATTTTCCTGACCAGCCTGTGGTAACAAAGGAACGCGACCAGAGGGCTCACGTTCCGAGCCCCGGAGAGAGGCCGACCCAGCGAGGTGAGGTCAGCCAGGCCAGGCCAAGCCCGGCCGCACACCTGACCTCCCGCCTGTCCCTCGGCCGCCCCCTCCCATCGGCCAGCAGCCCGCGTCCATCTCCTGGCGTCCCCGCCGCACGTCCCCATCCCTGCCCACGTCCCCTCCGCGGCCCGCTCCGCCCACCCTCCCTCCCCGCGCTCCAAGGCCCGCCCCTCCACGCCCCGATTGGCTCCGCTCAGGGGGCCAGCACAGGTGGGGTCGGGCGGTCCCGCTTCTCTTCCCAGTCACCTGTCCTCCCCAACAGCGAACTCAAGCAGCCCCCTACCCAAGACCCCAGAAGGAAGGGGGGACGGGCCCAGAAGAAGACAGGAGCTCTCCCCCGACAGTTGACGAGAGCCGTCAGTCACCCGCACATCCTCAGCCTAGACCAATGGGCTACCTCCTGCTCTCGCACCCTCCCGCGCGGAGCTGGCGGCGGCGGCCAGAGCAGCTCCTCCTCCCCCATCTCCTTCACCCAGCCCGCCCGCCCCGCACTCACTATTGAGGCCGGCTGGCGGTGGCAAAGGCTGTTCCCCTTCCTCGCAGTTGTTGTTGTTGTTGTGCGGGGGCGGAGGCTGTTCTACTAAATGAGACGACATCGTCGGGCAGCTGGAAAAGCTGTGGCCGCAGCTAGACTGTCTCCGGTTCTCCGGCAGCAACACAACAAGCCGAGTCCCCCGCCCCCTTTTCTGCGCCTGCGCAGTCCCTCCCCTGCCCGTGACGTCAGGGCCCGCCTCGACCGCGTGACGACAACACAACAAGCGACCGGGTGGAGCGGGGCCGTTCCCAGAGGGGCTCCAGACGTGAAGACGGGGGAGACACGCTGACGCGCGCGCGTGGAATGAGTTCTTGCGTGTCACTTGTACTGGCAGGATGGAGTGAGTTATGCCACTGGAACTGGGATGCAGGATAGGGAGAACTGTGTAATGAGGAAGTGTAAGGTGTTCATGTGTTGGCACCCAGTTCGCCCACACCTACGAGTTCAACATTGTTTTATCCATCCGTGAGCATTTTTTTTTTTAATATTTGTAAGGACTCACTTCTGTAATAGGTTTGGTGGTGACACATAGGAAGCAAAGACCCCAGTGCCTCTTCGTCATTAAACCTAAAATAAAACTGGTGAAACATTAACGATGTAAGGCAGACCAGATTTTTTAGTTGTTAAAAGAATTTCAAAAATTTTAATTACAAACGTAACATGTGATCGTTGTAAAAAAGAATAAAGGAATATTTCAGGAAAGCATAAAACAATCACCCAAATCCTAACTTATACCTGAGACATGACGTGTGAAACCATGTTTCCTATATGTGGGTGACACTAAACTATTTTATGTTCCAAACACTCCACCTACTTCATATCTCCCTGTAACGTTGTCCAGTTTCTTCAGTCCGATTTATTTGTGGCATATATTTTTCTCTGTCTGTCATTTGTCTTTTAACTTTGTTTTACTCTGCAGACATTTAAAATTTTCACGGAATCACATCTATTATCTTTTATATGACGGGAATGCCCTCACACCAAGATGATTATGAATCTATTTCTTACATTTTTCTAATTTTCTTAGATTTAATTTTTATATTTCGACCCTTAATAAATTTGAAATTTATTTTTGATTGTTATAAATTACTTAACTCAATTTTTCCTAATTGAGTAGTTAATTGACTCAACAATATTTAGGTTTTAAGTCATCCTTTCCACACTGATAAGAAATTGCACCTTTATCACGTTCTAAATTCCCACAAAAAGGTGAGTCTATCACGAGCCTTTCTAGAATGGCTCTGTTAGACAACTATTGGAGAAAGTGTCTCATTTGTCTTTCTAACAATTTTCATGACTTTAATTACTCTTCAGATGAACTATAAACTGACTAGACCAAGATAGACCATGTGTTGATAATTACTGAAGCTAGGTGATGGGTACATTAAACTAATCTACTTTTCAATATATTTGAAAATTTTCATACTAAAAAGATTTTTTAAAGGATTGATCTGTCAAATGCCATTGCAAATTCAAGATTTTGTTCAGAAATGTATTCAGTTAATAGATTAATTGGGGGATAATTGACAAGTTTACAAAGTTGTTTTCCCATCTAGACAATGATATCCCCCCTTATTTTTCTTAAATAAAAAAGTTGCTTCTTCAAAATTACCATCAACATTTCCTAATCTTTTCTGAGTTTTGATATAATCTTATGCTCATTTTATAAAAAAATAATTAGAAAGTTTCCTTTTCTATGGTCATAAGTAGGTGAAGTCGAAGTTATTTTAAGGATTTGGTTTCCCTAAGAAAACATACAGACATAGTGTTTTTAGCTCTGCTTTATAGGATGTTATCTTTATTTCTTATTTTGTGTTATTTGTCTTCTGTTTTTTTTCTTGATTATATTACCTAATGGTTTATCTATTTTATTGACCTAAATTAGATTGCTTCTTCTTAATTGTATTATTCTGAACTCTTTTTTAACAGCTTAATTTAGATATAGTTTACATACTATAATTAATCCTTTTAAAGTTCACAATTCAGTATTTTTATTATATGCAGAGTTATACACCCAGCTCTACAATCTAACTTTGGAACATTTTTTTGTCACTCCAAAAAGAATCCTTGTATTTAGTACCTATCACTCTCCATCTTATTTCATTCTTTCATTATTTGTATATTTAAGAATTTTTCCCTGGTCAGAGTATATTTTTGTAGTATTTCCAGTTTGCAGATTCATCTTAGGTTTTTTCTGAGGCCTAATTTATGGTTCCTTTTGGGGAATGTTCCATGAGTATTTGAAAAGAAGGTGTAACTTCTGTGTTCAGGGTATCAGATTTGATGTATCTATTGGAACTACCTTAATAATGTCATTTAATGTCAATATCTTTTACTCTTAATATGTTTCTATTTCTTCTCCTTTCACTATAGTTGCTTCATTATTTGATGCAAATATTAACAACTGCCTCTTTATCATGTGAAGTGGTTATAATTTTGGCCTCCGTGAACCTTGTCTGATATTAAAATCATGATGTTGGTTCTATTATTGTTGGTGGTGGTGTTTTGTTTAATTGCAACATCCCGATAAATCTTTACCTATTCTTTTAATTTTCTACCTTTCTGAGTCACTTTCTATTAGGTTTGTCACTTGATAACTGCAAAAAGTAGTCTTTGTTTTAGGGTCTAGTCAGATTTTTTTTCTCTTAATAGGGGAGTTTAACACATTTATATTTATTAATGTATTTGGATTTAATATTGTTATTTATATCATGTCTTCCATTTAATATCTTAAAATGTCCTTCACTACGGGTCTATTCGTTTTATATTTCACCTTAAAACTTAGAAATTTTTATTTTTGTTCAATTATTTCCCTTTATAACTGTATATTATGTAATTCATTTAATCTCCATTTATTTAGATAGTTTCTCTTAATGCCCAGAAAGGAACAATAATGAAGTATTAATAATTATATTAATAATTCCTATTCTTTCACAATAATGGTTAATATAATTCCTTTCCCTCAACCACTCATTTTTTACTTGATCATACTCCCTCTTAATATTTACTTGTCATTTTAGATATACTGTACATCTATCACTCAATTTATTAACTTAATATGATAAATTCAATGAATAGAAATAAGGTGGCATATTTGCCCAATCTTCTTTCTTTTCTCGCTTTTCCCTACTACAATTAACTTCTGTTCATTATTCATTTCAATATTGTTAGAGTTCATACATCATAGTATATGTATCCTATAGCTACTGCCAAATCATGCTTCATAGTAAATCACCCCAATTCACTGGCTTAAACAAGAAACATAAATTCTCTCTCATGCATCTGAAGGTTAGTTAATATAGACTTAGTTCAGATGGATTTAGTTCTAAGGTGAAAGACGGTACAGCTCTGCTCCCCTGTCTGTCATCCTCTTTGGACCATGGGTTGGCCAGGGCATGTTTCTCTGATAATGATGAAAGAAAAAGAGTGAGCAGAGGTAGCTCTGAACTATTATTTCCAGGCACATTCCATTGGCCAAAGCAAGTCAGATAGCCAACCACAAAGTCACGTTGCAAAAGGAATCAATTCTGGGAAGGTGAAGAGAACAATAATATAATCTACAACAGTATGTTAGCATAATCCCCATATTTGTTTTGGTCTCAATCCTACAGCTGTAGATTTACTGCTCATTATGGGTCCTATTACCATAATTTATGCAATTCTATCAGGTAGCTGAACTTTTCTACCTAAGAATAGCATTCCTAAGATAATGCATGTTCCAAAAGAGAGGCCTTGGTTGTGGATTTTTTTACTTGAAACAACTTTTTTTTGCACAATAATTGACATACTACAAACCACGCAATTATAACTACACCATTTGATAACTTTGGACTTATGTGTATACTGTGAAACCATCATCATAATCAATATATATGTCCATCAACCCCAACATTTCCCTAGTGCCCTTTTAAACCTCTCTCACTTGCCCCTACCTTCCTTTTTCTCCCAAGGAATCAATGATTTTGATTTTATCATTGTGAGATTTGGAGCAGAGAAACCAGCCAAGATCACCTGGCCTACAGAACTGTGAGATGATGTTTGTGTTGTTTTAACCCTCTAAATTGGTGATTTGCTTAAAAGCAATAGAAAATGAATTTATTATATATCATTTTATAATATATTTAAAATGAACAAAGTGATAGAGTGATTAAAATAAATGAGTTTGCAACTTTTGAAGATATATATATCTTCCTTCACATTCCAGTGTTAACATATTACAAATTTATTTTCATTGTCCACAATTTGCACTAAAATACATAGTCATCCCCTTATCTGGGAGGTTTTGATTTTCTTTATGAATAAGACTTTATATCTAGGTGTCTAAATATAAAAGAAATATGCAGTTAAAATTGTGTATATATGGGAAAACACAAGTAAAGAATGCATCACTGATTGAAATGGTGTCCAAGAAATTTCTAGACAAAAGTTAGAACCTAGATATAACTATTTAAGTTGAATGTCTTGCTAAAATTAGTGTATAATTTCATTATCATGTGCAATAGTGATAGAAATATTAAGTAAATCTATGATATTTTGGATAAGTCACTAGGATAGAAAGTAAAATTTTTAAAAAAATTTTTGAAACAACTTCCACTTCCAGCTATTTCAGAATAACAGGGACTAAACTTACCTTCTGACAATATACAGCTAATAAACTGGATCAAATACATAGAACAGTGGTTTTCAGATTTTGCACCGTAGGAAGAATAGTACTTTGATACATGAAAGAAAACAAACAAGCCCTACCTTGGCTTTCTACTTGAAGTGAGGACCATAGCAGGAAAGAGACTCAAAAGCAGGGTCTGGCAGACTTGATGATATGAAGAGACAGGTCTGAGTTCAGGGAAGTAAGATGACTGGAAGTTGTTGGACAGAGTTCTAGAGAGAAGGGACCAATGCATGAGAAAGAAATCTGCACATTAATCCCTTTTATACTTTCTTTGATACTAAGCCATGCAAGCATAAAGTGAAACTCCACAAGCAAAGAATGTCTGGGGAATTGCAAGATGAACAATTTCCAGGGATGGAAATCATCCAGGAAAGGGATATATTTAAGTTCTGATAAGACAGATTGGAGTGTTCTCATTTAACACCCAGTAGAGACCCCAGAAAGGTCATGTCTTAGTGTAGGTCCAAACTATCTCAAAGATATTCTACACTAATGATTTCCAACAGTCACT